GTATCACTCTTTCTGGACGCCTTCACACGATGTGTACGACGTGGCAATCGGCATGCCTTTTGCAAGGAAGACGACGATGCGGTTGATTTTGTGGCAGCTGTAGCAAACTTGCGTGCTTTTGTTTTTCACATTTTCCCCCTGCAGTCAGTGGAGGAGATACGCAGTATTGCGGGCGCCATTGTGCCAGCCATTGCGACGACAAACGCCATTGTGGCAGCGGCGGTGGTGCAGCAGGCGCTTTGTGTGCTTGGCATGAAAGAAACGACATGCCGTTTTGGAAAGCCACAAATGGTGTACGTGCGACGCGTGCCGCAGGTACGACGCCGTCCTTTCCCAGATCCCTGCGGTTGTAATATTCATGTCGCTCATGGCTCTGACCGTAAAGGAGACTCCAGCAGCGACGAAAAAACCGGCAAGAAAAACGATGCAATACAAAAACGGTGGGCAACGGACCTTTTTCTCGTGCACAGTGCACCACCCAGCCTGCCGAGCAGCAATTGTCTTGTCTGCCGTGAGCATTATCCTACCGTTCGTGTGTTTCTGGACGCCACTCACACAACGCTTGGGCAGTTTCTCTGCACTGTGCTACGGGAACGTCTGTCCATGACTGCAGCATCTGTCTTCTGTGGTGCAAATGTGTTGTACGAAGAGGACGAGTACGAGGCTCTGGCAACGACGCCGCTTGCGGACCTGATGACTGCTGCGGACAGGCCGCTGGAACTTCTTGTCGACGATCTCAATCACGAGGTGGAGTGGCGGCTTGTGGTTAACCACATTCCTGCGATGGAGGGGAGCGATGCAGTGAAACTGGAGGGAATTGACGCGGCACTCCAGTTGGAGCAAAAACTTGTTGCGGATTCAAAAAAGAATGCCGCTGCTATTGCTGCTGCTGAAAACGATAATGGTAATGGTGATCGTGTTGTTCCCACCAAGACCGGCGGCGTGGAGAACGACGACGAAGACGATGTTGTCGATTCCCCTTCCCTGAACGTGAAGGATGCTGCTGCGGGAAATAGGGCGACAGTGACGGTGGTGCTGTCAGATTCCGACGGGGATGATGTCGATGTCGTGGAGATTGAATGAAGGACAACGCATGCAGGGAAGGGACGGCGAGCCACACTTCATTTAACAAGTCCACGTTGATGATTTCCCTCATTGATTTTATTCAGTTTTTTGTTTTGTTTTGTTTTTTATTTGTTTTTGATTGATTGAGGGGAAGGGAAACGTGTTTGCGTGCAATCGAATGATTTTTTTTTCTTTTCCTTTCTTTTCTTTGAGAGGCATGCGTGCATTTGCAGTCGTCACGTGTTGTTTCTCCGTATCGCGGGCAATTTGCGTGTGAAACTTCCCCTACGAAAACAAACCCCCCACAGGAATCAAAATATATAAATATATAAATATATATTACATGAGGGACGAATAACGGCTTAACGACCCGAGGGAATACAAACAGAAACGATTATTTTTGTGTTGTTGTTGAGTCTGCCTCTTGTTTTGTTTTTATTTATTTATTTATTTATTATTATTTACTTAGATAAGTATACATACACGCAGAGAGAGACTGGTTCTATTCACTTACTGTGTGACAGGGAATTTTTTTTTTTTTTTTTTTTAACGGTTGAGGGGTGAAGCGACCGTTTTTTATTACGTTCTAGTCCTGCAGTCGTGCGATTGTGGTCGTGCGTGTGGGCGGGAGAGAGAGAAGAAGAGAGCGGGGTGCTGCTGCTGTTGCTGTTGCTGGTGACGGTGGTGGTCGGTGTTGAGGATGGTGGCGGCGCCACTCTCATACCGTCGCCTCTTTGGTCGCTGCGTCGGTTACTTCGTGGGAGGCACGGCCGTTGCGACAGTTGTTGTGATGACACCGCCGTTGGAACTTGTCCCCGCGCCAGTCTTGCCAGCACGGGTGTTGCTTGAGGGCGTTGGTCGTGTGTGTCGTTGCGTATATGTTGCCGGGAACATCCTAATGGATTATCAACTGAACCTGCATGAAGGGGATTCACAAGATGCGTGGAATGCGGTCCATCTCCGTAGTGCCTCTCGCCTTGTGGAACTTGCAGAAACAAACGGTGGGCTTTACGTCAAGGCGGGGCAAATTTTTGCCAACCTGAGTCACATCCTGCCGCCTCAATACTGCACCACGATGGCGGCTCTGCAGGACGCCGTTATTTCACGTCCCTTCTCGGAGGTTTTGACGACGATTGAACGTGATATGCAGCGTCCCATTGATGATATATTCTCGGAGATTGATCCCCATCCTATTGCTGCCGCGTCACTCGCCCAAGTTCATCGTGGGCGGCTCAAGAAGGAGCAGGTGGAGGTGGCGGTAAAGGTGCAGTACTTAGACATTGCCCATCGGTTCCGTGGGGATATGAGGACGATCCAATTGATGCTAGGCATTGCGGGTTTCTTCTTTCGCGGATACGACCTCTCAGAGATTGTCTGCAAGTTAAACAACACGGTGGCGAACGAAATGGATTTTACTCTGGAAGCCGACAACTGCGAACGAGCAGGGCGGGATTTGAAGGCCGGTGGATTTGGGAATCGCGTCGTCACAGTGGACGTCCTGCGTGACTACACCACAAGACGTGTATTGACCACACGACTGGTGGCAAACGCTGCCAAGATATCCGATCGTCGTGCCATTGAGGCGCTGGGTTTAAAAACCCGAACCGTTGCCGCCTGGCTCTACGACGCGATAGCATACCAGCTCTTTATCACAGGCTTTGTACACGGCGACCCCCACGCGGGGAATATTCTTGTGCACCGCCTCTCGAATGGGCAGCCGCAAGTTGTTTTGCTTGACTTTGGTCTGTGCACAGAGTTGTCGGACGAGATGCGTGCCGAGTTAGCGTGCATCTGGACCGCCGCTGTCACACATGACACCCCTACTCTAAAACAAGTTGCAAAGCGTTTTGGGTGTGAGGATTATGCGCTCTTTGCATCATGCTTCCTGCAGCACCCGTATGAGGCATTTAGTGCAGAGACAAATCTAACGACAAAAGCAACCATGGAGATGATGCGAGAGCAGGTCCGGAATAGGATGCATGAGGTGAATAACATCGTGTCTGGACTCCCGAAGGAATACGCATTAGTGTTACGAAATATCATGGCTGTCAAGGCGATCAATAGGGAGCTTCAGAGGCCTGTCAACCGTCCACTGCGTATGTTACGATACTCGGCCGTTGTTGCCAGAAGGACAAGCTCCCGATGGCAATTGGGTTTTATGCTTTTGCGAGCTTGGTGGTCTGAGATCATCTCCTCATTGTTGATGCTGTA